ATCTGATTCGCTCTACAAACATTTCGCAAACTGGCAACAGCAGCCCTCGCCTTCTTAATCCGTGCACCTATGTCGCTCTTGGTGCCGCCGTCCGACGCTATCTGGCTGCCAAGATATTGGAAGCTTTCGACTTTCTCCACTGCCTGCCCAGCTACCGTGAAATTTCAACGGTTTTCCGTGTTGACATCCAACGATTTGGTCTTGTTGACGTTGATGGTTAGACCTGCTTCAGAGGAGCGTTCCACAAGGTCGTCGAGCTTATTCTGCATGTCAGAGCGCCGTTGTGGGTAATAGCAACAATCAATACGAAACTAACGATTTTAAATTGGCTTACTACTTGACTAGCCTATTGGTCCCAATCAAACGATTAACTTACCCCATTCTAGTCGAAATTCTACTACTACACAATGTTTGTTTTGATTCGCTATGAAAGTTTGACAGATAAAATGAGGGGTTAGTGGATTTTCGAGGGGTGAATCGATTAGCTTGGGACCGAAGAGAGTACCAGAGCTGAGCCAAAAAGTTGAGCACGTTATTTCGGGACCTTCTAGTCTTAGAGTTACCTCTATGGTAATAGGCTGCCACAGCAATCCACGGTTCGGTACACGGTCATCGGCTCCAACCATGATCTCGTCGATTACGATGAGGAACAGTAGCGGTGATAATATATATCCTTGCCTCACGCCCGCGATTACCCAAATCGAGTCAGACAAAGCTCCGTAGTGCAACACTCTGCATGAGAAAGCCTCGTACTGCGCTTCGATGAGGTTGACGATCTTATCAGGTACTCCCTTGCGTCTCAGAGCGCCCCACAAGTTTTCGTGCTTTAGTCGGTCGAAAGCTTTTTCGTAGTCAATGAATACCAAGTACAGGGACTCTTGGAACTCATTGACCTGCTCCAAGATGATGCGGAGCGTGACAATATGGTTCACATCGGATCTTCTAGCACGGAATCCTGCCTGCTGTCGTCGGTAACATGATGCCTCGCCAGTTGTCGCATACAGTTGGATCCCCCTTTTTGGGGACTTTTTCCAAGACGCCCTGCATCCAGTCGGCCGGAAAAGTCGCGGTGTCCCAGATATTAACCTATAGTTGATGCAACATTTGTGAGGATAGCATGGGGTCAGCTTTGAGCATCTCTGCTGATATGAGATTGACCCTCGGGGCTTTGTTGGACTTCATACTTCGGAAGGCTGCTTCTATCTCCTGCAATGATGCAGCTTCAGTGTAGTCGCGAGTAACGTGCCTCACCCTTGGCGGATCATGCCGAGATGTTCATGGTTGGTTGACCGCTGAAACTTCGAGAAGTTGTTCAAAGTGCTCAAACCAACGTTTCAACGTTGGTCAGTGGGGTCGGTGAGCAACTGTCCAGTCGCGTCTTTCACAGGCATCCTTGGGTTCATCCTTGCCCTGCTCAGGTGTCGTGAAACATCATAGAGGAGGCGGATATCGCCAGTTGCTGCGGCTTTCTCCCCATCATCAACCAGGGAGTCCACCCACGCTCGCTTGTCCCGTATACAGGAACGCTTAACTTCCCTCTCTAGAGCCGAATACCGCTGTCGGGCCTCGTTCTTGGCTCCTCGGGTCCTTGCGAAAGAGAAAGTCGACGAAGAGAATTGATCAATGTTACTTGGGACCTAATGCAATGTTCAGCTTGATTTGACATCAACAATTTTTTTTCGAGAAGCAAACATTCATGAACACTTGGGTGATATCTCTTTTTTCAAAAAACTCAAACTTCGGCGATTTTGTGCCACATTTAAATCATATCTGATTGAGATCAAATTATGCACAAGGTCTTTTTTCGAGGTCGGTTTTCAAAACTGATAACCATTTTCATTGGCACCCTACTGAACAGGGTTGTGATCCTTTCATCTACGAGAGGCGAGGGTTTGAGTTCAATAATTGGTTTGACTATCCGATGGGTATGGGTGTCCAAATAGAATTTCCAAGCGTTGTTGTGGTGCAAGGCTCGTTTTGCATAAAAGGTAGTTTTGTGGTTTTTCGAATCGATTGCCTCTGGAGCAGTTACCGCAATTCGATGAAAATCGATCCACAGGGTAATGAGCTGTTGCGTCGTACCAGGAGTATCATTCCTGGAAATACCTATCATACTAAAATTCCTCATTTTGCATTTGGTTACGTCATGCTTGCAGTAAATGAGTTCGATTTTCATATAAAGAAACCTGCTGGGAAAAAGTCAACAAGTATGAGGTTCTGAATGGTTCTGATGCAATTTCGGTTGCCTTTATGTGGGAGCTGCTCGGGAAATTTCCCCGACTACAAACGCGGTTATTGGCCCCGACAGCACCCTCCGGTCAAATAATCCATTTTTTGAAAACTGTGGGAAAGCAGAGGACAGTTGAGTCGGGAAGGTCGAGGGGAACCACTCCAAACTAATATACGCACTGTGGTCAGCAAAACAAGCCGCCCTTCCTCTCCTCCATCTCCAGTCGTAGGTAGGTACGGGTCGAAATTCCTGTTCGGTTTTGTGGTCGGACTGTCTCTCCGAATTGGGAGTGTCTGCCAGGAGCAGTGGGTCACCGATGTATCGAATTGTCCGTCAGCTATTAAAAATGTATCATTCCCGACCCGAGCAGCAGACACATACACGGAGACGAGCAGCTTGCCGGGTGCTGATGCGTGTGCAGATATCGCATCTGGATAAAATTGTTTATGATTCAGTATGCAAAATGTTCGGATGTTCCCTATCTTTGGTACAGTATTTCGGAACAATATTGCTTAGTTGGTATCACTTTGGAAATTAATGGGATGAGAGCAATGTTTGGTTGAGAGAGGAAAGCCAATTTTGATACAAACCAAACGAGGAATAATATCAACGGTAAATAAAGAGATCAATGAAATATATTCTCCAATTTGATCGGGTAATGGCTAAACGGGCATGAAACGAAACCACACTACACAGTAGGCCAGGAATTAAATCTTGCAGTAACAAAGAATAACGCTCAGGGATTGCATCCAATTGAGTTGACGTCTGCTTGGATTAATTAGGACTACAATAGATCAAGATTTGACCGCAAAGATGGCACAGGATAGAGGTTTGTAGTCCTCGGCAAAAAAAAATGCTGCCGGAGACATAAAAGCTGTACATTTTCAAACAACTGAGATAAGGGAAATGGATGTAATGTTGGCCTAAATGCCCCTAATTTGGGCCCATACATAAATTCAGCAATTTACTACTTTTCAAAGCGATCAAAATTATCCATTAGTACCGTACCAATGACGCGATCATCTAGATAAAATTGATAAATAGCAGATTTTTAGCGATGGGCCCAATTTAAATCCATAGGCCAACATTGAAGGCATTTTCCCTATATGAAGCTTTATAAAATTTGCCTGAAATCGAAGACCACAAATCAAGAAGACTGGCAACTGTTCCCTTCTCTCAAACAAATGTCAAACGTCACTGATAACACCACCTCTGTCAATCAAAGGTGGAACATTGAAGCACAAGTGTTAGTGAGACTGCTCATAAACAGTGACTGTGTGTGTGATCTAATGTCACCGAAACGAATAATCATAACACGGTACTCATTGTTGTTTTTGTTCTGCTCTACAAAATTTCACGGCAATTTGTATCCTTATCACAGCAAGCCGGTGGTTTTCCAACTCCAAACCGAAAAAAAATTTGTCATGGTGGATCAAGTAGAGGAATGAAACTCGAATCGATACCTAGTGAAAGTAACTATGAACCGAAATATTGTTTACTTTACCTGCTAGAAGCAATCAACTATAAGGAATTGGCGGCTTCCGACCTCCGTTGAGTGAACTACCGTCATTCGGAAGCTGCTGAAAGAAGAAAGATCCGGTAACTATATCACGATCCAACGGAAGGTGTAGCAGGATCGAATTTTGGAGATAATGAAAATGAAAGGTTGAAGGACTACAATCCCAAACGGTACGATTGATAAAGAATATATTTCCATTTTAGATGTTGCAGAACATGAAACCACCGGATAGTGATCTTCTCTATGATTTAACAATTCTTTGAATCAACCAACCCCTTCCAGATAATGATAACAGTGTCGAATTGGCCAGTGACATTCAAACGGTCAGCGAGTACTGTGCCAAGTTGCCGAGCGTCACAACTTAACTCCCCCGCTGTGGCCAGGTATCATAGCCGTGCGGAACGGGCATGCATTTTACTAATGCACCATACGAATGTCCATAAACGCATCACTAAAGGGCTTAGGAAAAGTGGAAGATAATTCTGAGATAGCAAATGAATGGTCGAGGAAGATCCAACGAATTTTCGAAAAAAAAAAATTTACTAACGCATCTGTTCAATTTCATCTGGCATTTTACACGTCGTCAGCATAAAGTAAAAAAAAGAAACGTTTCACTTTTTACAAAAATCATAACAAAAACCAATAATTGACAACTATTTATTTTCACCTATGTGTGTGAATGCACTCGTGAATTAACACACACCATCCTACACAAGTTTCACTTTTGCTCAGAAGAGGCGTTGCCGTTGCTGTCTCCTGATTTTTGGCAGAGTTGCCAGTCTTCTTGATTTGTAGTCTTCGCTGAAATTTACGTTTTTGGTATTATATTTTGAACAATGGTTCAAAAGAATACTTTCATCATTTTTCCTCGATCGCGGTTGGTTCTTGAAACTTATAGTAATTCTTTGAGCCCGTCACTTATTTCAAACCGCTGCATAATCTGGCTTTTTTCAGGGTGTCTCAATATCCCCCCATAATCGATTTTATTTGCTCTGCTTACCAACATTGCACAATATCGATGTGGGATCAAAATGTGTCATTAGTTTGCGCCAACATGAAGCCTCCTACCACCCGGCGTATGTTTTTTGACATGGATTTTAATCGAAACAGAATGACTTATGGCTTAACCCGCCCCCCACTTCGCTCAGTTTTGCAATAATACTGGACAATTTCCCTGTAGCCTAATCCTGCGAGCTACCAGCAAACAGCAGAATGATTGAAATATTAATTTTAAAACGCTTCGATACTCACATTGACAGGTTGGAACGTTCGTGCGTCCTTCAGTTCCGTCAGATCCAGCGGAGGCTGCTTGTGGGGAGTTGCCGACCAAATCGAAACAAGCCAACGGTTGCCTGCAAAATAAGGAAGGAGAAATTTGGAAAATTCTCATCTCAATGTGACACGTCACAGCACGCTTACCGGTATGGCGGTCCTGCCAGTAGGGTTTGTGTTTGGAGCAGCAGCCACAGATGATGTTCAGCACAAAGATGAACACGCCCAGCACAGTGCAGATCGCGATGGTTACGTAGAACGGGTTGAAATTACCGTAGAGGTGACCTTTGAAGTAGGGATTTTCCAGATAAGCGACTCGTTCGTCTATCGTTGACATGATACACCATTTGGAGCACCGAGCCGCCGCATCAATGCCGTTTGTCACTGCCGGGGCCTAGGGATAGCTTTGCGGTGGTAACGGAAATTGGCCAATTTGTTGATGCTACTACTACTACTACTGCGGTGGGACACGGCTTTACGGACGTCCGTAGGGTGGATTTCAGTTGATCTGCAATTGCGGAAGTGGGTTTAGTGGACGGGAAATCAATTAATTATTTACTCGGGCGGGCGGCAGATTTGTGAATGATTGACGGTAATTAGAGTTGGGAAATTTTCGATTGCTACTACATGGAAGCAGTTGTAATTCTTTACCCCCTTGTGATATGGAACAAGTAAATATGAAACCGCATCAAACAAGGTATCCAACAATTTATTGATTAACAAATGGTTTGCCACCCTTCACACGTTTCATGCAGAAGAGTGTAATTGATTGCGTTAGCGAAACATTTATTGGATAAGTGGTTATAAGTGCCTGCGAGGCTACAAATGCAAATATTTTTACAAAATTAACTCCAAACGACATTGTGAATTTCAATCCATGAAATCAGCTCTAAAAAAACAAATATAATTTCTTTACCACAGATCTTCTGACAGCTCCTTATCGACCCTGCAAATAAACGTCGTTCCATTATTATATCTCATACGTCATTGGAAATAATATGTTCTCCGATATTTCCCAATTGACGAAGCTCTCGTAAAATGGTGATCGTCGTACATCCGTACTTTTTCGCCAGCTTCCTAACGGATCCTCATCCTTGACAAGTTGCCGGCGTTTTGCTACACTCAGTGTGTGCTTTCGACCGCTTCGCGGCAAATCCTCACAGGACCTACCGTGCTTAAACCGTCCAAACCAACTCCTGCAGTTCACCTCCGTGACAATTGGTCCATACGTTGCATTGATGATTGCCACTGTTTTCTGGGACAAAAAATCAAGGTCGTATGATGACACGGTTTTTCATAGCGGGTGATTTTTAGGACGGTGCTCGGTCTTCTGTTCGTCTTGTTTTGGATAACCGGGAAGTTTCAATCCGTAGAGTTTAAGATTCAGACGTTCCAATGTTTCTGGTATGGTCTAAACTCGATTCAACGAGTAAATCCAGATGATGATGGGTAAGATCAATTTCACTGATATCATGGTTGACATCGATGGACTCCAATTTTACAGTTAACTTTTGTGACATTTTAACTAAATATTGGTGAGATTTATTTCTAATTGTTCAGATGGAGAAACGAGTCTAAAAACGATCGGAATATAAACCCTATCATAACTTCAGAGGAACACAAAGTTGGCACAGTTCGGAACAACGGAAAAGAATTGAACATAGTCCGAATATATTTTTGTTTTGTTGCAAACTCAGTAGCTTGGGAGCGGGGATGCCAGATGGTTTAAGAAAAAGTCTTCAACACGATCTTCAAATGTCATTACCGCCACCTTCAATCTTAGTTAGCGGGGCGTGGAACTTGGGGGGGGGGGGGTCAAGTAGCTCCCTCCCTGATTCCCTCTTGAAATATGTTTTCAGGATTTTGAAAATTTATTGTTCCTGAATTTTGACTAAGGGGCTGTCCATCAACTACGTAGAAAGCTATGGGGAGTGAGGTGGATTTGTTATGCAGTGGGGTTGTTCTAAGGTCCATGTTTAAATCTTTTGTATGAAAAGCTGTATATGTAGTTTATGAACAGCCCTTAAGATCGCAGCAAATTATCCTTGAACTTCTTGAATTGTTTTGTTGATGTATAAGAGCTTTTCAAAGTCTCTAAAATTTTCAATTTTGATGACTTACAGAATTACAGATTTTTTTAAAGCTGTATTGACCTACTCAGAAAAAAATATTTGAATTTTTAAAGTTAATGGATACAACCATGCATGAAAACATTCATGCCAGTAAACCGAGTGGGCGACACATCTAAATCTCAAGTTTAGATGCTCAAAGAATCTCACACTAGCGAATCAATCTTCGAAAAATCTTCTTTCATTTGTCGCATCTACTTGAATTGCTCATCATCTTTTTGCAGGAAATCTTCAGATTCGTCATCAATCTTCTTTCTATCTACTCAGTATGCACGCAGCTAGCCACAGCAAAACACAATCTTTTTTGCATCGTAGATAGAGTCGTCCCCCTCGGTGTAAACATACTTTTACGTAAACTAAGGCTTGTACTCGAAAAAAATGCACCATTTTTATCCGTGTATAACTTTTTTATCCGTGGGTAAAAATTAACGAAAATCTGGGTATAATTAGTTTGGAGTGAATTGTTTACATGTGCACAATTTCATAACAATCGGTTCAGTGGTTATTGAGATGACATCGAAACAAGAAGAAAATCGCCGGAGAATTTTTCGCGCCGTCATGAAAAATCCGACTGCGACCATGAGATGGATCGGAAGACAACTGGGAATCACCCATACAACTGTGTCTCGGGTTGTAAAATCGTTTAAGGAGTCTCAGACGACCGAGCGGCGGGCTGGAAGTGCAAGAAAATCGAAGACAGCTGACCCTGTGATGGCCCGGAAGGTGTTGGATTATTTCAAACGTAATCCGAACTTTTCGATTCGCGACGCGGCTCTGAAGGCAAAGTGTTCGGCCTGGTTCGTTCAGCAAACCATGAAACGAGCTGGGCGTCGTGTATTCAAGGTCCGGAAGGCACCGAACCGACGTAATCAACAAAATACGGTGGCAAAATCTCGTATATGTATCGAGAGTGGTTAACGAAACCGATGTGTCTGGTTAAGGATGACGAAACCTACATCAAGGCAAACGCAAAGCATACCGGGGCTGGAGATCTACGTTGTCAAATCACGGTTTGATGTTCCGGGAGAAATAATGAATAAGAAAGTGGACAAATTCTTGCTCTGGCAGGCCATATGCCAATGTGGTAAACTGAGTAAACCGTACATCACAATGGGTACGATCAACAGCGAAATTTACCGCACCGAGTGCCTCCAGAAGCGCCTGTTGCCCTTCCTGCGGTGCCACGGAGGAGAGACATTATTTTGGCCGGACCTGGCATAATGCCATTACGCGTGATCGACGTTGAATTGGTACAGAGACAATAACGTTGTTTTTTTTACCAAGGCCAAAGTTCGAAAATCGTCCAAGGTGTTTAAGAACGAGCTGGAGTTGAAGAAAGAATGGATGAAAGTGACCAAAAAGGTCGGCTCCACCATTGCACACAATGTAATGAGGGGTTTCAAGGGAAAGGTGCGGGCTTTCAGCGATGGAGAGGTAATTGAATAAAGTAATTATGCCGAAACATAATCCATATGTATAAGTTCATTCTCTGAAAGTTTCAAGAAAATCCGACTTAAAAAAATTTTTTTTGGCGAACACTTATGTCTTATGTATTTTTTTTTTTGAGTACAAGCCTTAGCAACTTGGAAGAAATGTTGCTTACAAAGGTGGATGGTTTATACAATATTTTGATTATTTCATGAAATGTCTAATAAATTTACTCCATCTATAATGTCGGCCTAGATACCCCTAATTTGGGCCCATACATAAATTCAGCAATCGACTAAATTTTTAATAGCGACCAAAAATATCCATTAGTACCGTCCCAATGACACGTTCATCTAGATAAACACCCCTATTCTGTATTTCGTTTCGAACGAAATTCTCATACAAAAAAATATTTTTTTGTATGAGAATTTCGTTCGAAACGAAATACAGAATAGGGGTGAAAATAGATAAAAAAGCAAATTTTTAGCGATGGACCCAATCTAAGATCCATAGGCCAAAATTAGAGCCATTTCTCCTATCTGACGCACCATTTATGTGCATCATAGTGACAGAAATTTAACCTACTTTTTCGATGTGACGGAATAAAAATTGGACTTCTAGAAAAACAATAGCGATCAGGTGTCAGATTTTGTAAAACTTTCACGTTCACAGTTTTAAAAACAAATAGGGAAAATGTATATAGTGTCGGCTTAAATGCCCCTAATTTGGGCTCATACATAAATTCATCAATCGACTAAATTTTCAACAGCGATCAAATATATCCATTAGTACCGTCCCAATGACGCGTTCATCTAGATAAAATTGACAAATAGCCGATTTTTAACGATGGACTCAATCTTAGATCCATAGGCCGACATTAGAGTCATTACCCCTATATAAGTATTTGAAAAAGGTTCAAGGTTCTTGAACCTCTAGAAAGAACCTTTATTTGTGACTTAATCAAAAGTATTTCGATTAGAATTTCTAAGGAATTTTTAGACTTACGTTACGACCAGCGAATCCAAACACATAAAGCAACCAACGATACAGACAAAACGGTTGCTACGACTACCATGACAAACTCGCTCTGTAACAAAGCTCGATCCGAGTGGTAGAAGGATAATGATATATTGCTTGCCTACTTTGTTGCAATATACACGGATGAGGACATAGCTTGATATGAATCGGGAAAAGACATAACAAAAAAATTCCCATTAACACACGTGTATCTTCGGCTTTACTTCGTGAAGCAGCTTGCCAACAATTTACTCGTTTCCTTCTACCGCCCCGAATGAGTTGGGTCACACGAGCTGCTTGTCATGAAAAAGAACGGTGAAGATTATAGCATTATTGTTTTCCACTTCTGACATAGCGTTATTATTCGGTTCGTTGATCGCTTGTTATTTTGTCATTTGGAGATATTTTTGATTCCTTGGTTACGACCCATTTTTTTTTAATTTTTTTGACTTATGAGACTTATTTAGAGGGTTGCTTCCAAGGTGGTTCTAAAAGCCTTTTAATTCCTGGTGAAACCAAAGGAAAAGAGCTGTTGCCGTCGGTAAAGGCAAGCACCCGGTTGCGAAAGGGTTGCAGTTGTCGAAAGCGAGCACCCAGTTGCGAATGGGTGACTACCGTGAACGCGACCGTCCACTGACAGTTCTCGACGGCAGATGAACACTGAACCAAAACATCCGCAATACTCCGAATGATTATTGCATTGCTAGAGCCCTTTAACAATATGCATTCGAATTTCTGATGATTTTCTAATGGTTGAATTCGTCGTCAGATGATAAACATCCATATGACTGTCATCCAAATACAGGATGATTTTCGTTTGAAAATTAGCTATACAACATATGGCACTCAGAGGACAAACATTTAAGAATAGTGTGACATGTAAGTGCTTTTAATTAGATTTATAATTTGATTATCTACATTTCCATACTGAAAA